CTTGCCAGGCAAGCACTGTGCCACTGAGCTAAATCCCCAGCCCCCCAAAATTAAAATTATTCTCCCACTGCAAACTCTAGTTCAGGAAGATTCACTGATGATTTCTTTCAAACACGGAATAATGAAACACACAAATACTACTAATTTACACAGATATGCCCCAAAACTAGAAATAGCAGTAACACACTCCAACATATTGTATAAGATGAAGAAAAAAATTGATACCAAAATTTAACAAAATGGGGAATTCACAGGAAAGAAAATTTCTTACACTAACCTAGCCATGGGACTGGGGATTTAGCTCAATGATGCAGTGTCTGCCTGGCAAGCGTGAGGTCATGAGTTCGATTCCAGGTACTGGGAAAAAAAAAATAACCTAGCGGTGAGTCACAAAAAATTCAAAATAATGAGGTTCATTTGTATGTAAAAAGGACAACACATCATGATCGAGTACTGTTTTGTTTTTTCAAGTCAAGCATAGCTTAAAATTGAAATGAATCAACACAATTCAATACCTTAACAATGAAAGTTATCTTAAAGACGTAGACAAGCCTGTTGAATAAAGCAGATACATCATTCATGATCAAAATATGCATTCACCAGAATAAGAAGGAGCTCTCTCTCGTTTACAGAAGCATATTTTAAAATCCACATTAGCCATCATTTTTTTAGGTGAGAATGAAGCTACTTAATGGGTTAAAGAAAAATCTTGCCAGCACAATTATTTTTCAAAATAGACTTTTCTTTCTTCTTGCTTATATAAACTGTACACTAGTGGCTATGCTACTCCCCTCCAGAGCACTCCTGGGTTCCAGGCTATGGAAAAGACCACAACTGGAGTCATGGTGTCACTCAAGAGCATGGAGCAAGACTTGGGCTGAAAAACATCAGGCATGGTCAGTGGAATTTCTCTCTTCTCATCACTGCCTCCCAGGTCATTTGTTTTAATGGGTGACAGTAGAATTGGACATTTTCTCAGTTATAAAACTTAAAGTCTGTCAACAGGGTTGATACTGCCACATACTCACAATCCTACCTTAGCTCCTGGACAGCCACTTTTCATGCTGTTGTTTTGTAGTCGTTCCATGTAATATATATACTGGAAATCGCATCAAAGAAAATTAGAATCTTTTATTTCAATGGCCACGAACATATTAAAGACCTTAGGAAGATAAAAATGCTACCCCCCCCCCCCGCCACATCATGCTTGTTTATTTACTTTTGAGATGAAGCCTGGCTATGTTGTCCTGGCTGAACTTGAATTTCTAGACTCAAGTGATCCTCTTACTTTGCCCAGCATCCAGGAGAGCTGGGACTACAGTCACATAGTGCTTTGCCTGGATATATTCTTAAATTTTCACACTTCCCTGAAATTATCACATTTTTTGTGGAAAAACTTACTTATGTGATCTCTGTTGACCAAGTTTTAATATTTCTTTCTCAAAGAATTATATTGCTTTCCATGCTTAAGAATGTTTTTGCTGAGCCAGGCATAATGGTACAGGCTCCAAGTAAAGTATTAAATTAATCCTTAATCATTCTAGAATAGAGAACTGGATTTTGCATGCTGGTATTGCGTCTTGCAACTTTATCGAATTTATTGGTTCTCATAATGTTTTTGTTGATTCTCTAAAGTTTCCCATATAGCCAGGTGTGGTGGCATACACCTCTAATCTCAGCACTTAAAAAGGCTGATGCAGGAAGGTCTCAAATCTGAGACTCTGCCTTAATCAAAAGGCTGGGTATGTTAAGTCGGTAATAGAGCACCTTTGCGCTTGATCCCCAGTACCACATACACACAAAAAATTGTGTTATCAGATGACAGAGTTGACTGAAATTAGTTTTACTTTTTTCTTTCCAATTTCAATGGTCCCCCTCCCTTTCCCTAATTTTTGTAGCTAAAACCTTCAGTTCAAGGCTGAGAAGTGGCCAAAGGGGCAACCCTATCTTAGGGGAAAAGCTTTTCACCACTGAAAACTTCTTCCTCTTCTACCTTAGAATGACGGTCACCCTCACGACAGTGCTGCAGTGCCATCCAACCACCTCCTCTTGTCCCTGACTGCTTGTAGCGTGCTCTCGGAAGCTGGTAAGGTCCGCGAGATCATAAACGTGAAACCCGAACTAAAACACCCGTAGGAAGAGCTGGTCCTGGTAACTGAAAGAGGCAAACACCCCTAGCTCGCAATTTTATACCAGCCCTGCCTTTTCCTGACGTCCTTACGCCAGGCACATGTCTGTGCCAATCAGAACAGGCGCTGGGGGCTGAGGATTTAGCTCAGCGGCAAAGCGCCTGGCAAGCGCAAGGTCGGGAGTTCGGTTCCTGGTACCGGAAAAAAAAAAAAAAAAAAAAAAAAAAAGAAGAGGCGCTGACTGGCTGAAGAGCAGTCGAGAAGATGGGAAAGAGCGCCATGCTGAGTAGGAGCAGAGCATCTGTACCCGCCAGGTGGTGGGGTGACCGAGCACCTGTGAAGGTAACATGTGAAACACCCTTCTCCTTGCTCTACCGAGGAAAAAGGACCCCCAAAAAGGATGAGACGTCTCTTTGCAAAAAGAAGCGCTTTATTTAAGCTGGTACCCTGCGGCACAGAGTACAGATGGACTTTGTAATGCGGCGCGCCGAGGAGAAACAGTGAGGGGCTTATAAAGGAAAAAACCGCAAAGGGTAGGGAGGGGGAGCATGGAACACAGTACCCAGATCTTGTTTTTGCAGGGTGTTATGTACATCTGGTGGTCATAGTTCTCAGAACGGATGTTTTCACAAGAACACTGAGTTGGGGCTGGGGATTTAGCTCAGCGGCAAAGCGCCTGCCTGGCAAGCACAAGGTCGTGAGTTTGGTTCCCGGTACCAGAGAAAAACCAAAAAAAAAAGGAAAAAGAACATTGAGTTAACAAGTTGGCTCTTGTGGTTTTTGCATTGCCTGGGAACTGCAGCAGGGCATTTTTAGCAGGGGATTTTTGTGGGTACAATAGGTGACTTTAGGGTGAAGGGAAGTGGCGCATACAGAACAGGATGGTGGCGCTTTGGTCAAGATACAACACGCCTCTGCTGGCCTGTGCTAGGATTGGAGTCCTAGCACATAATACGTCAGGCACTGTGCTAGGATGGAAGTCCTGCTGCCACTCCTGCCTCTGCGTCGCAGTTGGACGGGCTGTGCCCGTCCTCTCTACATCTCAGCATCACTGCTCCCCAAGGCCTGCGACTGTGGACACTTACTGAGCCCGAAGTTCCCCCAGCCAGGTGATGATTCCACAGGGGGAGTACTATCGACCTGTGAGCATTATCAAAAGGTGGCCTGGTCTTTTAGGTTGTCTACAAACCCAACACAGTCATGTGGGAGTGAATGACCATGTGCATCCTCCTGATGTTCACTGCTCACAGACTGTCTCCAGCCCCGTCTTCTTATCCTTAATCTCACAGGCTACGGCCTTCTGGATTCACCACAGCTCACCAAACCCCTTGTCTGTTCTTAAAACTTGTTGCCCTGTTCGGATCCTCTGTCTAGGGGACAGCCTCACCACCTGTCCCATAATCAGAATGAAACTTGCAAAACTGTCTCCACATCCTGGCCTCCACCTCCCACCCTGTGGCCACACCTCGGGGCTCTCCCTCCCTCCAATCTGTTCCCTTGAGCCGGACCCAAGCCCAGGCCTCATCTTCTCCCTCCTGGAGCTTCTTCCCTGTGGGCAATTTCAATTTTTAATGGGTAGCCTATGATTTATTTAACCACTCTACCCATCAGAGATACACAAGCCATGTTCAATTTCTATTTTAAGTAACATTGCATAAATAAATTCTCTTTTGTTTTCTAGCTTTTTTGGTGGTGGGGATTGAACTCAGGACCTTTCTCATGTTAAGCATTCACTCTACTAAAGAGCTATAGTCCCTCCTGTTCTTAAACATGTAAAAGTATTGGAAGTGGTTTTTATAAAACACATGTCTGCAAGTAGAAATGCTGAATCTCGAACACTCCAAACCACCCTCCACACACATAAACCTCACTCCAAATTTACATGAATATCTGTTTCCCACAGCCATACCTCCCAGTGCTGGAGATTTTCATTCCTTTTTATTTTTACCAGTTTGATTGGTGAAGATTGGTAGTTTACATTTGTATTTGCCCACTCAGAAGATAAGGTTCTTTCCTGGCTTGCTGGTTAGTTTTGTATTTGCCTTTCTATGAGTTGCCTATGCATACTTCTTGCCAATTTGGGGAATAGGAGAATGAGAACGTAAGAGATCTTTATTTTTTATGTATGCCTCCAAATGCTTTTTGTGTCTCAAACGTGTGGCTATTGTTCATCAGAAAGAGAAAAAAATGGAAGGTAAAAACTCTTCCACACATTCTCACTCCCTGCAGAGTGAAGTAAGTCTCCTGCAAATTCTGGGCACTTCATGATTACAAAGAACATTTTCAGATGATTTTGTAATAGTAGTTGAACTGGTGGTTCTCAACTTTTAAAAAATTGATTTGATTTTCAGCTGTCACCAGCTCGGATTTTGGGTGAATAAGCCTCTTTGCATGTGTTAAATGGGGAAGGTAACAACCTTTTCTGAGTAAGTTTGATGCTAGAGTTCATGAAAACTGCACAGCGTGGCATAAAAAAGTGCCTAATGTGTGATGATGACAGTGAAGGTATCCGGGCCCCACTGTGATCCACTCCATAATCCACACAGTCCAGACACAGGAGACCAGCTCCTTTTCCACAGTTCTTCAGACCGTCCCCAGCCTGCAGTCCTCCAGCACTCCTCCCCTCAAAGCAGTGCAAGGTAATATGGTGGGCTATCACAGTGCAGCATGGAGTGAGGTACACTGCTTCCCTCTGACCCACTAATGAAAACTTACTATGATCCAAGTGTGGTGGCATGTGTTCCCAGCTACATAGGGAGCTAAGAAGGATTGCTTGAATCAGCCATTGCCTGGGTAAGGAGGCAAGGCCTCAAAAAAAAAAAAAAAAAAAAAAAAAAAAAAAAAAAAAAATTAACCATGACCCATCCTATGCAATCAGCAGTCAGCAAATGTGCATTGTACTTGTATATACCTAAGAAGCAAGCTCCAGAAGTGTGGGTAGTATGCTATAATTTGCATAAAAATATCACAGATGTACATATGCTTTAACACATGATGAAAAACTGGTATGGAAAGAAAAATTGTAAGTTCCAAATTTTCTTATTAAACTTTGATGAAAAAAATTTACTTTATACCACTCATTCATTCAGTAATAATACATTGAGAGTTTACTATGTGCCAGGAATTGCTCTTGGAACTGGTAATACTACATGAAAAAGGGAACAGTAACAATGAAAGGACCCCAAAACACCCCTGATAAGTGGATAAAATCCAAGTGCCAATTATTTGGCATAGGTTAAAGGAAAATGTTTATGTCCATACAATGGAATATTCAGCAATAAAAAGAAAAAAGCACTCAAGAATGCTGCATGGTGAACTTTGAAAACTATGCATTAATGGACACCCAATGCGAAGCACCATCTATGTGTGGATCCATCCATACGACATAGCAAAAGCGAGTCGATAGAGACAGAGGATTAATGATTGGGCATGTGAACAGGAAATGACTGTAAGTAGGCCTCATGAGAGATCTTTTTGGCATAACAGACGTGTGTTAAGAGTGGACTGTGGTGATGGTTGCATGAACTGTGGAATTGATAAAAGTCAATAAATTGTGCGCTGAAAATTAGTTTTATCATATACAAATTATACCTCAGTAAAGTGGTTTCAAAAAACCAGCTTGCTTGTCCTTAACCATCTTACATTCTACCTAAACAATAAACCAAGTAAGAAAGATGTATAAAATTACTTTCATCAAGTGTGAACAATGAAATTATATTTAAAGAAGTACATTGCTATTTTCTGTCCAAAGTTTATTGACATTTCATTTGCTAAGTCTAAAGTTGGCATGAAAGCTATCCCAGGGGTTAAATGGAAAAAGGTAATGAAGATGAACACAAGTCTCACAAAAATGGAAGACTTCTACTTGATATTGATAACATTCCAAAATATACGAACTTTAATTTGGTCTAGAATTGCAACCAGAGTCCAAACCAAACAGTCCAAGTCCTCTACTAGACGCATGTATTATTAAGACTCTACCATAGTGCGATGTAGCTGTCATGCTGTGCCGGCCCAGCATCCCTGCAAGTCATCGAAACATGCATCGCAGACGAGGACGGGCTTCTTGGAGGAAGGCATTAGGCATTCTCGGCTGAACACTCAGCACAGATGTCTCCACACCGTTGGCAATGATGCCGCCTTCTTCTTTCTCCCAAATGATATGTACAAAAATGAACATGGGTGATGTTACCACTTACCTTCGTTGCACAGTAACATTAACTATATTACATATTCTCTTTGTGGAGTCAGGCACAGGACCAGAACGCTTTTTCTCTTCTATGTATGTCTGTAGCTCAGTTATATTGTTTTGTTACAAATTTACTACTTGGGTATTCTAAATACAGTTTATGTTAAAATATATATTAACCATGATTTAAAAAAAAAAAAAGAAAGATGCATAGCAAGGTAGTGAAAATAAATCAAGGGTACTTGGGGCAAGGGTTAAAGTTTCACATCGGATCACTGTGGATGTACTACAGGTGGCACCACTGGGGCTGACAGACCACTCCTCCTCCAGCCACCTGAATTTGGGCAACACCCCAGGGCCAATCCTGCTTCTGTTATCCTAAAAGAAGCAGAAAACTGAATAACGAAGACCCAGCAAACCTCTAAACCTCCAGGCCAATGTGCACGCCTGTTCAGGTCCCCCATGGCCTGACCTTCAGTAAATCTTTCCACACTTGAACGTCATTAACAGTTCATACATAGGGACCACATGTCATGGGCAAGATTAAATAAACTGAATTCTGAGTCATGACTCCTAGGTGTGCCTGTGATTACTCAGTACTTGGTCACTCATTTTTGCCAATCATACTCAGAGAGATCCAATGAGCGGCTCTAGGGCAGGGTGCACACTACTTAAAATCTGAAAGCCTGATTTATGCTTGCCTTATGTTCCTGCCACCATGGCGCCACTCTTCCATTCATGTCCTCTTTCAGTTGCTTTGGGTATGGGCCTGCCCTGAGCACGTCCTCCATTACTTCAATATATGTAGCTGCTTTTTCCATTACCGCTGTGTACGCTTGCAATTCTTTGCTCTCCATATACGAGAACCTGGAACTGACCCTTTTCATCCATTATTCCTGTTATCAGAATGTCTCACTGACCAGCCAGAGCAGAGGGCAGCTCCCTAAGGCCATCCA